AGTAGTTTCAACTTGATTTGTTTGGTATACTGTGAGCATGAATATTTAGTGATTATTAAAATGTTTCATCGCAGTTCCGTCCTCAGTTTGAGTGCATTTAAAATTGTTGTCTTGGACACTATTTGTCCACGGGTATTTTATTTGATCACATTTTAGACGCTTTAAGCAGTACATGAATGCTGTGTTTTTGTTTTCTTGCAAATTAAGTAGAAAACTGAGTTAAATGTTGGCTAGCATAGCTATAAGCTACTAGCATTAGTTGCCATGTGACTAAGCATTTTCCATCTCTAGCAGTTATGGCTTTACATAGATGTTGGTGTAATTGTTAGTTTAAGTGTTTTCAGAGCAGTTTTGCAGCTGTAAAAGTTGTAAAAGTCTCTCTTTGACTGTGGCACTTGCTTATGTGGATGCATGCCATGTTTTGGCCTAGGGAAGAGGGAAATAGACAGAGCATGGGCCGGGCGAGATAACTGTCCATAATTTGGTCCGTTTCTGGTCTCAGATTTGTCAGTATCAGTTGAGGTCATTCAGGTCAGGTCTTAAATGCGGGAGTTCATTCAGGTAGGTTCTTTCAGGGCCATGCATAATTCTAGTAACAATTGATACATTAAAAATGAGGGCCTGAAATTATGCCTGACATTTTCATTTTGAATATATTACAACATTGAAAGTATTTTTAAGCTTAAAAAAAAAAAAAAATGGCCTGAATCAGTAGAGGGGTCAGTGCCTTTTATACAACCAGATGGAACAAAAAACGATGAAGTCTTCTCCGCTCACCAGTGAACTTAACTCAGCTTTATGCTCAAGCATTCTAAATGTCACATTTACAAAATAATCATGGCTTTTTGGGAACAATGCCCGGTGTGAGCATTGAACACCTCATTATCCAACTCGATCTTTAACAATGATAGTGCTACATTAGCAAGATATTGGCATTTAAATAGGATTGTAAATTAATGTTAGGTCCATGCTGCCATAACAATTTCTTTGCACAATGGTGCTGATCAACAAAAACACAAAAGCACAGTTCTTTGCAACTAAAAGGGAAGGCCTCTGTGGTTGTAATATGAGATACATGAAAATCTAGTAGCTTTGGCAACCTCCTCCTATCCTGAGAGTGATGACAGAAGAAAACAGATCAAATCAGGTCTCTGTAAGGGTTCACAGAAGATGAATAATGACCACATTAGCGGCATCTAGTCATCATGACTTGGCACATCTTCGTTAGAGGCCAACCCTTACACAGTTAGGAAACCTCCATTATTTCAAATGTGGGGGGAAAAAATCCATTTGAGATCCATTACTCCTAGGGTTGTTCATCAATGAGTAGCTTGAGCAGCTCTTGCACTAACACATAAAATGTATCCATATGGTCAACAATGAATAAGAGCCGTCCATTTCCAAAGTCAAAACATATTGTTAACCTTTTCAAATATCACTTTGTCCTTTTAAAATGCCCATATTCTCCTTTAAAAGGGGTCAGAAAAAAAAACCTTTTTCAGGCTTTTTGTATGAAGTCATACAAAAGGCCTGACCCAACCACTGACATAATGTACTATTTCCAGATTAATAATAGAAACACAATTTCCAGTTTGCTTCCTGCAGCTGAAAATGTGTCCTGCTTTTGCCATAGCTGCTGCACATGAGCTGAACTTAGGATGATCTCCCATCGAGAAAGAGAGGATCATTTGGTTACCAAATAAGTTGAACTCTTTTGTGTCATTTATCAAAAAGAAATGCATGTTAAAAATATATTTTTAAAGAAAAAGCTCTGTCCAATAGCACAGTTATTCACCACTGTATGGAAGCTGGTCCTGGAAGCTACTGTACTGAAGTGGAGATTAACATTTGTGGCTCTGTCCTGCTCTTTTATTCAATGTTCAAATCTGCTGAACTTTGACCCGAACAGCGCTGACCTTTGTGGGCGCAGCCAATTGCTATTGACCACCAGATTATTTCCAGTACTGTACAATAGCAAATTGTCGGCATATCTGGATCAAGATGCAGCTACCAGGTTTGTTTCAAAACCATTGTTTGAGTCTCTGAAAAGTAGCGATCTACTGCGAGCAACATTAGACATTTTGTTACAGCATTAAGAAGTTAAAATTATTGTTTTAAGACGAGTAAGCTGGAAACATGGATAAAACATCAAATGGAGGCCTCACTTTAAACCAACTCATAAAGCTAAAGTTGGCTTAATTGACACTTTGCTAAGCCACGCCCCCCTTAGTTACTGTTGCTTGGTCCATTTTTTTAAAACCTGTCCTGCCCAGCAGCCTGGTATAGAGTATGAGGAGCTGGAAACCATATTGTGCTTGGGGAGGAGAAAAACAACAAACAAAAGAAAACAACAAACAAAAAAAACAAAGAGACAATCAGCTGAAGAGCAGCTATGAACAGCTGACATAAGAAAACAACAGAGAGGCAAATGAAAACGCGAAACAGTCAAACAAAATAAATAAACTAAATAAAAAAATATGGGAGAAAAAAAGTCGACTCCCAGACGCACCGCGACACGAACACGGAAGACTCCGACCAACAAAGCCCCGCCCCACCCGGTCATCCAAATGGCAATCGACAACGCAATACAGACAAAAAAGGCAAAACTCGTGGAAGAGCAGGGCTCAGACTGACCGCATGTCATGGTTTGTGAAGGGTAGTATGGCGGAGTAAAGATGAGGTACGTAGTAACTAAGGTGCCGTTAAAATTGGAGGGTAGTTGCGACGCGGGCACTCCACAACTAGCAGGTAGTGGAGCCTCCCAACATGCCCCTCTCACACCCCAAGCACTCTGTGTCTAATGTGTAATTAAAATTGAGGGGTGGGCCAGCGGGGGAGGAAGAAGGGCGAGGCCGCAATAAAGCAGCCCCACCCACCAAACGCCCTGTAGCCTGCCTGCCCGCCCAGAGTCCTACGTGTGAATGTAGTGAGACATGATGGAAGGGGGTAAGGTGAAAGAGGTCATAGAGAGGCTAGAATGGTCCTCCCCTCTATTCACTATTACAATAATTAAAAAGCCAAGGCATTAGGGCCATATAACATTACATTCAGTAATGTTAGTAAGTTAAAGTTTGGTAGTGTTATCTAACTAACATTACATTAGGAACAATCCACAGCCTACATTTCTGGATTTGTTTTAGGTTTTGGAAAAGGAATAAATCCTGCTACTCCTTTCACCCTCTCTGAGTAGTGATTGTAATTATTACAAGTGCCTATCGAACAGCGTTTGACCATAAAGGCTGGAAACAAAGCCTTTTGCATACGAGTCAATGAAGCGCAGCCATGAAAGTGTCAGACCTCACTTAGAGCGAGTCTTCCCAGTCCACCTATTACTGCGCTGTAATTGGCCTTAGCGAACAGTCAGTTCTCAATATTTTAAGCCAATATGTGTAGAATCACAAAATTGTGAGATTGCGCCCTACAGTGGTCAAACCAAATCAGAGACCGTGGCGTACAGCATGCTCACCTACCCCCAAAGATGCCAGCTTGAGTATCAGACAATTATCATTCTTTATTTTTATAAGTTAGCATGATTACAAAATAGATCGTGTCTTAACTTCATCCTCAAACAACAAATGGATTTTATCACACAGCATCTTGAAAGATAAGAGATTTGGATATAAAGAAATGTTGAAATGTTAAATAGCTGTTGGCTTGGGTAATACTGTAGGTCAGCAATGTTTAGATGATATGGGATGCATCTTTTTCAAACACATAAGTTTGAGAGAAAAATGAAAAATAAGCCTATTTCCAAGAATGCATGGCACAGCAGTTCTCACACTGAGCTGTCGCCTGCAGCTACAGAGTTACTTAAGTTCAAAAATCAATTGAGTTAATAACTGACAGCGGACTATTTTGTATCCAAGTAACAGGAGTCGGTTAGTCATTGCAGCATGACCATTCACAATGACAGCCAGATCATTCAATAAAATTTAACTAGCCCCAACAAAGTCTAATTTCCTTTCAGGATTTATAACTTGGGTTCTATCAAAAGGTTTAGGAAGAGAAAGCGACAAAGCCACTTTGTTATTTACCCTTACACATTACAATGTGTTTCTGATTTGTGCAGGATTATGATGTCTATAATATATAGTAAATCAGACTCAAAATCACATACAGTACTTAATATATACAGTACAGAATATTGCATACTTTGCTTTTAGGTAATTTTAAGGGGAAAATAAAAGAACTTTAGTGGCAACAAATACAGCTTTCCCTGGAGATATCCCCATTATATGAAAAAGAGACAAAATAATTGGCACTGGCTAACACGTGACCTCAACTCTACCATAACTGGTCACATGTCATGACCCACGTGAACAAGCCACAAAGCCCTTTCTTCGGAATAATCACATGCTGAGAGGCTCTAGACAGATCTCCAGGATCCACTTTGCACATTTCCCCCTGCTGAAGCATTAGCAGAATTCAGACCATTAAAGTGTATTATCCAGGCAGGAGCTCCCAGACATTAGTAATCACTTCAACCTGCCTTGCAATGGAGGCAAAAAATATCAAAGGCAGAAAGTAGACAGACATGATAGCATATGTCATGTTTTTAATCAGAATAGAGGTCTCAATGTACATTATTTCTGTCATTAACATTTGACAAAACCAGTCTATTAGACTGCATCACTAATTGTACTAAATTGCAATTTCAAATTTATACCTGTACACCCTCTCATATTCGCAAGACAAAGCAGGGAGATCTGATCTATAGAAACCAAGCCCTACTAACATATCCATGTGTGTACTGACAAATGAAAGCATTAACCGTGTGGCAAACTGCACTCAGGCACAGGATGGAAGCAGACCTGAAACATCACCACAAAAACCTCAGGAGAAAACCTTTACCGCCTCACCGCACAAATATCCATAACACTGATCTTATAAAGATGTTGCTGTACAGCACATGACTGCAAACCTTGGTCAACAACACGATGCAACTGCTTATCAATTAAAGCCTTAAAAAAGGTAGTAGTAATGGTTCCCCCCTTCCTTACCTCTTTGTCCATGCTGTCTAGATCCTCCTTGCAAAGTGTGTACAGAGGCATAGATTCTGACATGCTCGGCTGTCGTTTCCGACGAGACGGCCCTGGCTGCTCGTTGTCTTGGCTGGGCCCTGCCACACCGTCCTGCTGACCCTTTGAAGTTCCCCTGAGGTACAAAAAAAAAAAATAATAAAAAACCATACAACACTTCGACTTAGAAAACTTTCCAAACTGTCCTCAGAGAGGCAATTTGGGGTGCAGCAGAACAACAACATATCGACACAACACAAGAAAACAAACACATCAACGAACAGAAGCTACAATAATCTAAGATCGTCTAGCCGTCATGATGAAATGACAAATAAATGTCGTACTAGTCCAACGGGCATTTAAAGTGCATGTCAATAACTGAGCTTTAAACTGCTGTCTCAGTGTATTCCACATGCTCTAGACTCTCCTTGTCTACCGTCTCTTATGTAATTGGGTTACTGCCATCAATATAAATGAGCTTTTTGCACGGTTGGTTTTAATCTAGGGGTATCTATATCGCTGACCAGAAGGGAGTGGCTGGAACTCCACTGAAAGTGGATGGGATGTATCCCTACAGACCATGTCAGCCTTTTCAGGAACAGGGTATGGCGATATAGACATTTTTGGAATGTCCATACCAACATGCAATACAATAACATGGGGTGCTCTGAATCTGAAAAACAAATTAAGAATTTTGTTGTTAACAGTTTTCTGAGGAAGTAAATGGGCTGTTGTCCCTTCTTAAAAACAGCATCAGCACATTGGTCCCAGGAGAGTTTGTGATCTATACTAAGACCAAGGTACTCTAGATAATCTGTCACCACCTCAATCTCCTCTCCTCTGATCCTGGATAAAGTGAGTGGTGGAGCATCACATCTAAAATCTAAAATCAGTTCTTTCTCTGATATGTTAAGACTTAAATGTGAGGCTTCACACCAATCGAAAAGTCTTTCAGAGCTAGCTGTTCGACAAATTTAATTATATGGTGTCCAGGGTATCTGCTATGACAACAATTGGTTTATAAAATATATAGAAAGGGTGACAGCACACTGCTCCATGGCGTGCCAATAGAGTTAAAGCGCACATCTGACAAGAGATCTTCCCATGGGGAAGTCCAAAATCCATGTGATTGTTGTTGGGTCCAGTCCACGCTGTACTTTCAGCCTATCCGCCAGGATTACTGGATTAATTGTATTGATCCTGGCTGATCGACTGAAAGTACATTATGTCCGAAATCACATGAGGGCCATTTTGTGCCAAGCATATCAATTAATACATTTACCTGATTAAACAGACAGCTCTGTCATTAAGTGAGTCAATAAAGACACATCTGAAAATTAATACTTCCTAACATACTCTTACAAAGAACTTTATAATGACTCGTTTTCTGTTTTGTTTTTCATAACAAAAAAAAGCCTGGGTGGGAAATTAACTTTTTAAAATGTGAACATCTACCAGCCACTGACAGACAGATGCTCACATTCACAAGCCATTCAATAGTAAATCATTATTTTCTGTCTGAAATCTACCAGCCACTGTCATTAATTTGCCAGCATTTGGCTGGTGCCAATTTCACACCCTGTAGTCAGCTGTAATGTTTGCTTTGAAATACATTCTTCTGTTAACAGTAAATCTTCACAGGAATTGCATTCATTTGCAAACACTGTACATAATAGGCAAATCTTTCACAAAAAAGACAATTTGCGGATGTAGAGTAATGGGGCAAAAGAGGTTGAGACTGGAAACCAACGATGACAAGTGCAATGGTTTCTTCTCTATAATAAGGGCACATTAGATGTAAATCTCATGCAAGTGGGAAGAGGAACTTTTCTTACTTCCACTTGGCAGTGCTTAATTGAACAGATCTTCTTTGATGATTAAATCCAAGCTGTGCATGCAACTTCCAGAAAACTCCACAGTGTCTCTAATCTGTGATTTATATGGGCCAATTTTATGCTTGTGATTATTAATTAGGAGTATCATCAAAGACTTATTCAATTTACAACATTTTTAATCATGGTGATGGTCCAGTAAAGAGATGCATAATGTTAGCTTTATGCTTAGGCTTTAAGCCTCTCTGTGGCTCACCAATGACAAACAAATGCACACAGAGAGGACACCCTCCTTATTAGCATCTGGGACTGACAGAAGAATGACAAATGGAGCGGAAGATCAGAGGTGACTTTGAGGGACAGTGAAGCTTCAAACTGTAGGTGGAAATTAAACAAGGACATGCCTGGAAAATCAAATATTTCTATGTCTGTATGAGTATAAAACATTTCTGTTGGAACCCACATGCACGGCAGAAGTCTATACATGCGGCCTGCGTGGAACACAAAAATCCCGTAACAATCAGGAAAAGCGCCCAAAACTGTCTGTCTGTTTGTAGGTATTGGCCAAGTCCCACGGAGGTACAGAAAAATCACCATGATGTCAATAAATCCTATAAAGGGCGGCGATAAGGAGGTGTTTCCCTTTTTAAGCTCTGAACTTTGTTTTTCCACTATGTGTTGGACTAATTCGCTGGTTGGGGGAAAAATACGCGTTGAAGGTTGTGTTAGGCAGTTCAATGCACTGTTGCCCGCCTACGATGAGGTCGTACACTACATCAGCTCGATATAGCATCTCCATATAAGTTTCATAGAAAGAGGAGCATCTGTATTTTTGATGGTACTGAAAGTCACACAGTCAGAAATTCTAAAAACCCTGGTAAACTGTAATAATAATTATTATATAATAATATTATTTGTAGAGCACTTTTCAAAAACAAGTTACAAAGTGCTTTAACATGTGTAAAGACAATAATACCAAACAATACATGATAAAAGCAAGAAAACATTGAAAAGACTAAAATACATCTTTAAGATAAATATAAAATAAGTAAAATACAATAAAAGGGATAAAATAAAGTCAAATAAGATCGGGAAAGGCTCTCCTATAAAAGTATGTTTTAAGAAGGGACTTAAAAGAGTTCACTGACTCAGCCGACCTGATTTCCTCGGGCAGGCTGTTCCAGAGCCTCGGGGCCCTGACAGCAAACGCTCTGTCCCCTTTAGTTTTCAGTCGAGACTCTGGAACAGACAACAGACCTCTGCCCGAGGATCTCAACTGTAATACCGTGAAACCGCCCTAGACTTTTAGCATATTTCTGATGGTTTTGCAAACAGTGCAACAGTAAACACAAAAAAAGTGCCTTATCTTCAATATCAAGATGAAGCATAATATTATAATTAAATTAACTTACACACAATATCTAGTTTTATATCACTGCATCTAGATTTTATCATAATATTGCACTGCTCATTATGTTCTCACCTGACACAAGACTGGTCTCTGTGATCAGAGAGCATTAAAGACCCTGACGCCTGGGGGTAAGGTAGCGGCCGTGACAGCTGAGGCCCCCTGCGGATCAGCTTCCCTGTGACGGGGTCGTAGGTCCGAACCTCAGGGGCTGGAGGTGGAGGCCTGTACTGGATGGCAGCTGGGTTGAAAATAGGCTTCTGCAGGGAGCCCACATGATCAGGGATCGCCGCTGGACTGTTGCTCCTTCAACAGACAAGAAAAAGATCTCCGGTTTGGAATCATCTTTAGAAAAGAGTTATTGCAAAGACTGCAGTCAATATGTTAGCAATATCTGTAGGTGGCCTGGAAGAACATTGCTCCTTCACCTTGGCGTCTTGGAATAGTCCTCCTTTAGCGGGTAGAGCTGCTCCTCCACCCTCTCCCAGCGCTCCAGACAGCTCCACAGCCAGTCGGGGTTGACAACATGGAGGTGGTTGCAGCCTTGTGCCTGACGAACCTTCTCGGTGCCTGGGCGACAGGAATGAAGGGGGACAAGGTCAAATGGAGGATAGCTTTTGACCTGACAATTAAAAGCTGCTAGCAAAAACACACACATACACACACACACACACACACACACACACACACTCTCTCTCTCTGGGTCTTCTGAATAAGTCAGATCAATCATCTGACTTTCCTGGAAGAGAAAATAAAAAGTCATTGATTGGTTAATAATATTAGATAAAAAGGAAAGATGTCTTTCTGAGTCACCGTCCTTTTACTCACCAACTCAATAGTTTTCTTAGAAATCCAAAAAGCCATGTTTCGTTTGGTTAAATCCAGACAGAGTAGTGTTTCTGCTTGAATAAGCCTTATTGATGTTTGAAACATGAAAGTCTAGCAGCTCATTAACCTCAAGGATATTTAAACCACGCGTGGCTAACAATCACATGCTTGTTCACATGTTGACTAGAACTGTTTGTGCACATTTTCCTGTTCAGTTGGTGTACAGTATCCAGCATCTGCTTTGTGTTGTTGTTGTGCTGCTTGCCATGAACTGGAAAACTGATCAGAGGGAGGTTCTTTAAAGTATTTTTCATTAACTTGGACAGCAAAGCTAATTAAATGAGCTGGAAAACAAGAAACATTTTTCAGTTTACCCTTGATGCATGTTCACTGAGACACAGAGGATCGTGGCTCAGAGCATACAGCCATGCTAGCACCTCGGTGAGGCTGTATTTAGTAGGGCCCTATAAAATAAAATATAAAAGTTTAGTTTTTTGTCCGTGGTTTGTTTTGTTTTTTCTGAATTTTTTTATTATTATTATTTATTTTTTTTACAATTAAAGCAGATCTTGTCACCAGAAAGAGTGTGTAATCATGGTGGATGAATAAAATTATAACAATTCAATAAGAAAATATTGCATATTGAATCAATGAATGTGATGTATAATGCCAATATGCATGTAGAAATATTTAAATGCATGTACAATTATTACAATTCACAATAAATGCATTACAATAGTAAGTTATGAAAATCCTATAATACTAATTAATAGGTGTCAATTTACAATGATTGCATTGTTGCAGTACATTTATTGTGAATGTCTCCTTCCAAACAGGTTTTACTCTACAGCTACTACTCTCACGTGGGCAACGCTCCTCCTTGTTTACAAAGCTTGACCGGACTTTAACTTTATTTTTTCTGAAGGTATATCTGACTCCGCCCACACAGCCACAGAATTGACAATTCAAAATCCAATGGCAATCCGTCTAGTTTTTAAGATATTGGATCAAAGTGTTTGACCGACAGACGGACATTACCATCCATAGAGCCAAATATGTTAAAACAATTTTTTTAAAAGTGCTTTATCATAAAAAAAATAAAGAACACCTTTTCTATCATCAGTCTACCTGTGAATGAAGCTTCAAGACCTCCTGCTTTTAAAAGCGCAAAAGTTAAAAAGCCTTATTATATCTGTAACCACTCACTGAATGAACAGCCTGTGAAAGATGATAGTAAAGAAAACATATAAAAAGGTATGTATTTTTGTGAAATGCACAAGATGAATAGCTGTTACATGTGCTTACAACACAATGGGCCTATCCAGCAGCTCTTTCCAGACTGAGTGGCCTTCTGCTCGTGTAGCCCTTACACCATCTTTGGCTGATTTTTCTCTCCTGATGAGTGATTGCCAAGTGCTGCTCTCTGCTTTGGCAGGTTCCCAAGGCAACAGTGCCACTTCCTGTGCTTGTTTTCAGAAGGTAAACTGGATTGGTAGCTATACGGGAGAGAATTCACTTTTGGTGCCCTTCAGCTAAAACTGTATTTTCTGAGCAAGGTACACGCTGCTTTGACATTTAAGCAGAAGAGTCCTTTGTTGTATCGTTTGTCTCTCATGAACTACCAGAAAATGGACGAAGGTGTGACACACGTCTCTGCCGACTGCAGGAACACTTCATGACAGTAATGTGATACGGGTGCTTAGTAAACTACTGGCCTGATAGACACTCAAAGCAAAACATTATTTTCAACTTCAGCATAATTTAAGCCTTACAAGTGCAAAACTAGCCTCCATATGAAAACACACACACACACACACACACACACACACACACACACACACACAGCCTCCAGCAGCATGGGTTTCTAATGTCAGAATACAGTGAACTGTGTTTCTGTCAGTCAAGCAGGCCTAATTACAGGGAATGAGTCACTAGTGCGCAGGAGAACTCCAAAGGAGGTTACGGAGTACAGGAGGTCCAGATCCACAATTGGTTGGTCGGACAGGAACCCGAAAACAATGTGATCCCAGATTTACACACAGACACTGCAGACTGTGTTCAGTAAGGTATAATCCTTAAGCTTGCATATGTTATGTACTGGTCATTTTGAAGCTCACACTTAACGATGAACTTCATACTGCTTATATTGTCTTTGTTGTTTCACTGTTTCATTTTTATTTATTTGACCGATTTTCATTTTAGTTTATATATTTGTTATTAGCTAGTTGGTTGTTAGATTTGTTCCGGAGAGGCATGAAAGAATTTCAGGACATACTGTACTGTGTATGATTGTGTGACAAAAACTTTTTTTTTTGTCACATCTTGCTATAATATTTTTTCTGTAATATGCCTGCATGTATTTTTTATCTCACTGATTTCAGCCTCGCTGATTATTGTTCGCTCTCTTCATATATCGGATCAGAGCTGTAATAAGTTACTGCTAATGCAAACAAAACATTTCCTACTGCTGCTTCAGAGGTGCTAGGAATTTAACCAATGTCTCCACAGCGGGGTACACCCTTGTTGCCATATGTTAACCGGAGCTCATTATACTGGCACACGGCCTCCTGGAATGGCTGACCTCGCTGATACATTAATTGTAATGCCATTTATGACATTTACAGTACTGCCAATTATCTCTGCTCAGCCAAAGTTTCACAAGATTCACAAAATTCACAAATCTGCCAACATTTCAGTAAGCCCGGCATTTAAACAAGCCTTGCATGACCCTTCTTAAATTCTAGCCTCATTTGCAAACCATGGCTTGCATCAGTTACGAAAGGTTCCAGCACATGACCACTAAAAACTACCTCAACCGTCATCAGCAAAAGGCAGATCAGAAAAAGAACTAAAGTATTTCACTTTCAGTCCTCAAAATCCAAGGCTCTAAATTAAAAACTATTTTTGAGAATTATGCAACTTTAGACAGAACAATTAATTGTCAAATTTGACACTGCTACGCTAAGGCTACAGTTGTATGCTTGGTCAACAGCATACATACATTTCTACATACCAGCTCTTGCTGCGATGAGGTGTGTTGTCCGACTCGGATCTTGGGAATTAAGAACCAGATTCTTCCCAATTTTGGCCCCCAGTGCTTTAGCATGGTAGTGCTCACGGGTCCTCTCCATGGGGTAGTTGGTCGGGTACAGGCCACTGAAAACTAACGTCGTGCCCTCCAGTGTTTTGCTTTTCAGCTCTGGGACAATTTTGCGGATGTCCGGCGTTTCAGAGGCCTCCTTCCTCAGGTAGGCCTCGTAACGTGCGTAGTACTCTGCGTGGATCCTTTCCAGCACTTCCTCCAGGTAGATCAGGTGATCGTCCTGGTCGTTATCAGCTTCTTCTTCCTCGTCCTCGTCCTCCATGCTCTGGTCCAGCAGCTCCTCCCCCATGGTGACCCCGGATTGCTCGCTATTCTGGGACTCTGTTTCTGGCTCTCTCCTATCGGAGCAGCCATTTCCCAGCTCGGGGTCCGGGGGAAGAACTCCTGAAGGTTCTGTTGTATCCGAGCTGGTTTCCCCTTCCCTTGCCCCATCACCATCACCAAGCTCTTGTGTGACTCCTCCCTGACCAGATTTCTTTGCCTGACAAGACTTGCCTTCACTTTCGCTCTCTGATGAGGGAGGCTTTTCTGTAATAGAGTCACTGTCACTGTCACTGGAAAGGTCAAAGTCTAAGTTATTGGACTCGTGGTGCGGCGCTGAGGAGTTTGCGCTGTCCTGTGCCTCTCGTGTGACCAGTGTCCTGTTGCTATCACCTTCCTTAACATTTGTTCTGTCACCGACCTGAGTTTCCCTCGACCCCACCCCAGACTCTGCCTCAGTCTCTGACCCTTTACCTTGCCCTGATTCGTCCTCTGCAACCTCCGCGGGGTGAGTCCGTTCATTTGTTGGTACTCCCTGAGAAGACTGAGGTGTTGTGGACTCTTCCTTTCCAGAAATGTTGTTGTTGTCTTTTCCTGCCCTTTTCCTGGGGCCGTTATTTTGCTCATCGGCACCAAGTGTCCCCGCTGGTTCTGTGCTCTCTGCTGGTCGACTTGACGGGCCTCCTGATGGAACAGGACAAGGCAATCACACAATATTCAAGGATACATGCATCAAAAGGTGTCAATCAGGTCAATTTAGATCAGATTTTCCCATCCTGACAACCAAAAAGCAAAGTGTTATCAAAACAACAACAATTATGAAATAAATATGAGTGAACATGAGCAAATTCTGGAAAACATGAAGCTGAAAATTATTTAAGAAAGTATTCAAACTCAACTCTTTATTATAAAATGTTATTTTATCCTTATTTGCATAATACCAGAGGTTTTATAGGATTACATGATTTATTTCAAAGTGCCCTCTATCAAAAGTCTTGATTAGGGCTGAAACGATTCATTGATTAAATCGATTAATTTGATTACTAAAATGCATTGACGCAAAATTCTTTGCATTGCTTACGCTGTGTCAACACGACGGGATTATGATGGCGCTGTTTGCAAATTGGAGGGATTATTTCAAGCTAAAGAAAAGAACAACTCTGTAATGTCACAGCCTGTCCACCGTAAAACAAAACTTATGTCGCCTAAAGTTACCGCAACAGCACGACGGCATCTGGTCTGAAAGCACCCGGTGTTCTGCCAGCGGACCACAGACAAGGCATCAGTAACAGCAACTTTAGCATTTAACTGAAATAATGATTGATTGTTGAGTTGAAGGCTAGCCAAAGTAAGCCGCAGTCCTTAGCTGAAAATGCGTTTGTTGTTCTCCTGGTTGGGCCGTGAGTTTGGGTTGTAGCGTCATACTCGTGAGTTAACTGGGTGTCGGGGAGCTGCACCTTTGTATAACTTGTACAGCACTCGGGTGAGGTTTGTGTTGGTAAAGCAGTTGTCTGGTTGTTGGTCTGTTGATCTGATGTTAGCTGTATGACACACTATGAATTTCCGAATTGGCCATGAATTTCTGCTGCCGCCAATCAAAAGTACTACTTAAATGATGAATCAATGAAATAATCTGTAGAAGCTTCGAGTACTAAAATGATCGTTAGCTGCAGCCCTAGTCTTTATTATTACCAGAAGTCTTTTTTAAATTTTTATTAATTATTATTATCATCATCATCATCATCATTAATATTAATGCCTATGGTGTTTGCATGGTCAAAAGTTTCTGTGCTTCCTCACAACATCTGCGGAACCAAAGAATGATTCCTATTTATTCCTATTTATTCCTATTTAGTTAGCATCAAAGGGAAGAGATCACCAATTGCTGATTCATTTATATATTTCACACAATTTATTCATATGATTATTTGTTTCATTATGTCTTTTTTATTTATGTATTTTTTGATTTGACAATTGGAACTGGAAACTTGCAAAGATGATGTTTAGTAATAATACTTTTAGGTAAAAGGTGGAGGACATTAAAGACAATGCATGTAACTTTTCTTTTTACACTCCTTTTGTGTATTCATTTAGATGTTTGACTTCTCCGATAACCTTTTACTACATTCTGTCATTTTCGGGGTTTAAACAAACTAATCTTCACCAGCTCTGACCATTAGTTGTCACATAAAACACATTTTCAAAATACAATGACACATTCAGGTAACATTCAGAACCCACATTTCAAAAACCCTTTCCACCATGCAAACTACTTAGCAGTAAGCATTCTTGAAGGTGTGTGACCCTGTGATTATAAACCTCTTAGCGATAACCTTCCCAACATTCCACGCTGGTAAATTCTACCCGGGGGATAACCCAGATTTTATCTCAGAAATGGCTGCTCTGGCTGTCCGCGTTGGCAAAGACCTCTTGGTGTAGAATCACAGTCCTCTGGATAGACTGAGTCACTCCAGCGCAAGTGACTATTTGAGCGTGAAATAATATTGTCATGTGATGACCTGTCAACAACACAGAACAACCCACAAGACAGTTATACTGACACAGTCAAACAAACAGGAATGATGTTTTTTGGAGGCAAAGCATCCTGTCGCTTTTGAATTAAACAGAAAGATGTCACTTCTGCTAACATACCCCTCCATCAGTGATTGCTTGTTCAAAGAAACGCACTGTATCACTTGGAACCACTGGGCTGAATGGACAGGAAAGGGGCAGCTAAATAATCTGAGGCGGCATGGCACGCTAGAGCAGGCGCAGGCCAGTGAACAAGTCTTCAGAATACAAATGCAGTAAATTAAACTGTGGGCAAAACTTTTAACAAGTGTTTAGTACAAGGTCAAAAACACTGGGACTTTCATTGGTTGCAGTATCTCAATATCAGGACTGGCTGACAACCTACAGGACAGCGACTCTGTGTATATACTGATAGAGTGTATGATATTTAACCTCACAATGATTCAGATGCTGTTAGTTAAGGATGATGGCATGCCAAATACTTTCCACCCTCTGTAGTCAAAAATAAACTGGCGTGTTTTAAAGTGTACTTAATTCTGCTTTGATCAATATTTTGATATTAATGTGTAATATGACAGTGATCGCTTGCAGTGATAAACCCACTAAGAGTAATCACCAGACCCCGCAGTTCCCTTCAGCTCTACGAAGCATTTTAAGGCCTTTCAGCTCATCGTTTTGTTTTTTACGGCCCTAAAATTTGCTTTTTTTAAATCACTCACTCAGGTATTATATTTCAATATAGTGTTAAAAGATTCTTGTGCTCCCCCAAAAGGCAGTTTTAAGTTAAGCTAGAGTCCAGTTTGGGGTTGGGTTTAACAAGTATAGGCCTTTTCCAATGGGCATGTTAATAAACTGGTACATTCATTTAGAATTGCAATCAAACATCTGCGTCATAAGGCGCTTTCACACTGCCCAATTTCCTGGGATTATTACGCCAACATGCCGGCTGGCTGCGCTGTGCGAAAGGTACCGAGCCGAAGAGGGGGGTCCGATTTGATCCGCCTCTGAGCCGGGAACGTTGGTAGTAACAGTGCTGGAACAATGTCTGTGTGAAAAGCCGCAGCCGGCATGCCGGAACAGGAGTGACGTTTCAACGCTGTTGTGTTACAAGTCGTGATCTTTTTTAACAGTCTAATGAAGCAAATCCACCATTTCGCACAGCTTGATTACATACAAAGTCAATGCAAAAATGGGAAAAGGAATTCGTTCCGGGCGGTGTCGAAAGACATTCGCTGGTTTGCTCGATTTAAAATTTTTCAACTTGAGCGAGAAATTCGCATGACGCTATGTTGTGAAACCCCATCAGCGGTGAGCTTCAGAGTGCTGTTTGGAGAGAACCACGCAGAGCAGGGGGTTGATTTATCTTCACTTGAGCTTCAGCTAGCTTCTGTGCATTTCCGGTTCCACTGCTGTTGTTAGTGTTGGTGAGCACCCAGAGCTCTGCTGGACTACTACTTCATATTTTAATTTTATTTTTTAAAAACGGACAAAACTGGACATTGCTTGGAGAAAGAAAAGAGGATTTTTAACTACCTGGTGAGTTCAGAAAATATGTCTGTAACTTTCTTCCAGCTATCGTTGTACTTTACTGTGAACAAGTTAGCATAGCCCTAATCAATCCGAATGTTATTCAGAAAACAAACGAAAAAAGTTGTTGTCCTGCTGACAGACCTGACAAAGCATGAATTCTATAATATGTTTTAAAAATTAGCATCATGTTGTAGTTGTTTCGGCATGAGTTTGATCAGTTTATTGCAATTAAATCACAGTAAAATGTTTACTTTGGGTTCATTCAGCTGTAGTAATCGCGGTTTGTGTTTATTTAGTTATCGCAATGTGTGTGAACGCTTGGCAGTTGTTTAGCGATAAAACCCCTGCGAGGATTAAATTCACCACAATATTTCGTTCAGTATGAATGAGCGAATGCGGCATATTGGCTGGACATTCTTTCCACGTTTATTGCGGAATCTTTGTGTGAAAGCGGCTATTGCGAGATAAACCCGCAACTGTGTGTGCTTTTACAAAGCTTTCCTGCTTTCCGGGTTACCTCGACCGAATCCGCTTACGCCATGTCTGCCTGAGCTCATCCGGTCAATTTTCAAAATAAAATAACCTGTGCGGATTTCTGATCGTAAAAACAACAATAAACACACTGTTAAAACAGATAAAAAAGAAACCATTTAACTACGTAGCCTACTCAATCATAGCAGAAGCACAAAAGCAAGCACTGATAAACAAATCAACAAAATCGGGCAGGCAAAACGCTCTTATTCTGAAATGCTCCCTGTGGATATGGAGCCTGAAGATGACAGAACAAAACGCGGTCAGAGAGAGCTGTTTTCACACAGACATCGTTCCGCCTCGGTTACTACTAACATTCCCAACATTCTTTCCTTATTTATTGCGGGATCTCTGTGTGAAAGCGGCTACAGGTGTCAGGTTACAAAAAATTAATCCTCACCTGCCAGCCAATCTCACAACTGACGAGATATTTGAAAACAATATTTCTGTAGGTTTCTATTTACACACACACACACACTGTACATGAGACAATAACCGAGGCCCTGTCAGGATCTGGCTGTGCCATCCCCTCAGATCCCAGTGTGTTCGGTTTTTCCCTTCATTGTGTTTCTTGTCTGTCACCTGTCTGTCTTCCCTGTGTCTGTATATATCCTATCATCAGGTAGGCCTACCTACAGACCACAAAAAAAACTAAGTTCACCACAGTGTGTTACAAAAAGCGCTATTTCAAAACCCACTGTTCAACCACCAATTAATGCGTCCTTATCTCAGTTCAAATCTCTTATGAGTCCACCTCTCATCAAAAATTACTCAGTTTGAGATTCTATTCAAAAGTTGGCCAACAAAAATAAAGCAAAGTGACGCCGATCGCCCCAATACGTTTAACTTACTACACGTGTCTTTCTGTTGTGCATTTTTCCAGTCTGTCAAAGCGGCGGATTTCACCCACCAACACCACCAAGTTACCAGCGGGTGGCGGCTGCTACTTTCATTCACTGTGTGACCCTAAAGTTTCTGTAGTGTCAGCTTCTGCCAAGCTTAAGGTCATTGTACAACAACAAGTCAAGATACGGCAGTCCTTAAACAACGGCTCTGCTCAGATCGTCTGCATATGGCACGTTTTTTGCTTTGTTCGCCTGACATGTTTGTTTTTTTTGACTCCTGTGTTTTTTTTCTCACTTTTGCCTCAGGTCGTGAAGTGAGGAGCTTCACTCAGCATTCTCTGGGGTTTTTTGCCGCCTGCCCATGGAGACCGCCAGCGTGGATTTCGTCACTGCATATTTTTGAAACTGTCAAATAAACTCGCTGTGGTTTTCTTTGTCATCTGACTCGGTGTCTGCACTTGAATCCCCAGTCAACCCTCCTTAACAGGCCCAGTGTTTCCCCACATATACTGTAGACTTTACTTGGGTGGGCTGCCCTGGAATATTTAGCGGCCCATTTTAGCATTATCCAGAGAAACCTGTTGAGAACGAGTACGAGAATCTCGGGTGGAAAAATCCAAACGAGTTCTGCATCTTTTCACCAACTTTATAAAACATACTGCTGATGGAGAAAGTCAGCAGAGGAGCCACTTACAGGTAGCGGCGGGGCAAGCCCGTGTGTTTGCAGTAAGAGACCAGAGAGGTGTAGCTGTGTGTAAATGTGGGGAAAAGTGAAGTATAGGGAAACGCAAGGTGAACAGATTCAAGTAGTGAGTAAACAAGAACACCTCAGCAATTTAAACTTCTAAAACTGCATTTTACTGTTTGCACAGACTTCAATTAACAATCAAGTGTCAAAGCTGAGTGTCAGTGAGATACAGTAAATTATGTGGCTCTATTTCCAACGAAGTAAAGTACTGTGTAGAATTCAGAACCTATCACAGCAGCACAAGATCAGTGAATCCATTGGACTGACTCACTTGTTAACTTCAGCAAAAAAGTGTCTCTCATGGGGGAAAGAGCACTGGAAGCTACTCACTGGACAGCGCATTCTTGGTCGTCCAACTGACCCTCAATGTTACATTTACTGTCAGCAGCTTTGTGGATATGTTGGTCTTTCTAAGGGTGCATTGTGTTCTCAAAAATGTGCAGGCACCGTACCTTTCCTTGCCATCTGAGCTTCCCGTGATCCAGGGGGAGCGTTGATGTCCCCTGTGCCCTGGAAGTAGATGTATTTCTTCACAGTGATGAGGTTAGGCGCAAACTTCCACACGTCCTCTCGGTCATCGATAATGCAGACCATGGAGTCACCACACGGGAAAAGATTCCTGTCAGGAAAGTCATGCACAAGACACTGACAAAAACTGCAGAGCTTTCTGACAGATGTCCAGACTTCTCCAGATAAACAGTGCGAGCCTTTGGCCCTGCTGATGTTTTAGTGACAGATGTGTTTTGCCATGAATCACAATAAGGGGCAATTACAATTTCTTACATCACCCGTCCAATTTTGTTTTGTATTTGCATGGAGATGTCACAGTCAACCACTGACAATACAGACCGACTGCCCATGGTACAAACGTCTACAGAAGCAAATACACTGTCCCATGATCACCTTGAAAGAAACTCAAATTAACTTACTGTAAGTTTAATCTACAAAAAGGTAATTGTCTCCATTTGCTTTAAAACAAAACAGAGTAAAATGATGCCTAGAAAGAGTGGACGGGACCAGGTTCACCACAGATTAAACTGACTGATTCAGCTGTCACCTTTAGCAGAAGGCAATTCCCACCTAAGATTCCCCGTCTTGGAGAAAGGGTCGATGCATTCATCTCTCGAAAGGATCCGATGAGAGAAAAGCTTCTTTTCGGGATCCAGAAAGCCTACAAGAAGGAAGATAAAACATGCATATTCTAATGCCTCTTCAGCTGTGTCTGAAACCATAAACTTCCTCTCCAAGGCCACGCAGCAGGTATTTCACTTTTGTTGAAAACTTACAAGGTTTAAGTTGACACCATTTCTATGACACAGGAATAAATAAATAAAAGTAAAATAGTTTTTTTTTTATGGTTTTAAGACATTTTCACCGCCTTTTCTCCAGTATTTTCTCATAGAATCAAGTAGTAGTATGACAATATCTATCGTTTATATAATTGTGTCGCAAATTCCACACGTTACCGTAATATTTTGTTGAGGTAACGGTGCTTTGCACCGGGGTGAAGTTAGTTTTACATTGGAAATCGATATCAAATGTCCAATGGAAAACTAATATCCAACTTGAAACTAACTTCACCGCGGTCCGCTCTTCCACACCACGGAAGAAATTTGCATTAAAAATAATGGACGAGCCACACAACACTATCCAGCAGTGGCAGCCATGTGTGCCTCAGTCAGGTAGCGTTAAATGACTTGCCCATGGACATATAGTGATGGCCAAACGAAGCGTTCTGAAGCATTATTCAGTACTCAAAGGTTCATTTATAAAGTGCAAGACACCGCCATCTGCTGGTGAAGGCAATGTAAAGCAACAAAAAGCTGACAACCACAAAATTCTAATATGTTAATGCAGAACCCAGAAGAAAATTTATTGCACTCATAGGTTGCTCTTTTACAGCAGGAGCTGCACAAAACTGCAATTTCAGCTTTAATTTTAGTGTTGTAGCTACCACCTGTTTCTCATATTTTCACCCTAAAATTCACAAGGAGAAATAGGTCAGTGAGACAAAGCAATTAGCAGCAGGAATCATAATTGAGACTCGATGGCAACACCTTTCTCGGTCTCATTACTGGCAATTTTTTTCTCTTAATAAAAAAAAGAGCTGCTCTGAAAAAGTATTCCATATTGAACGTACTTAGGTATCGAAATTCGGTATGACCCAGAATACTAGGACATCACTACGGACATACAGCTTACTTTATAGTTCACCAAGACATGCTGCTGTTATGATGTTAGCTGTAGCAGCAGGATAGCTGAGAGGGTCGCTGTCTGGAGCTGCTGTCTGGGACCGTCTCGTCCTCTCATGTTAGCTTTGCAGCTGCAAGTAGCGTCAGTTTGCTAATCCAAAACCTAGCTCACATTAGTTACATTACTTGCTGTGTTGTTCACTCTATCATGGTATTTGTCATGGTGTTGGATTTCTCTTTTTCTATATATCGTTGTTGGAAAATGAAATGACTTTTATCGGGATATCGATTTTTTGGTCATATCGCACAGTTCTAGAATCAAGTGTTGAAAACCTCAGGCTTTCTTACTACATCTGAAAAGATATATATGGTTTGGTGAAACCTTGGGTAGATATAGAGACCTACCCTACCCATTAACATGGCAAGACCACATACCAGGCCAGCGTCTCCTTTAACCACAACAGAAGCTGTAATAGCTGGAGCAGGGCTCTGAAACATGCTGACCCCCCTGCATAAGGGCCAGTAGTAAAATCCAATTCACAATGCATTAAACATTCATCATACGGAGGCAGAACTGGGCCGGGGCTGCTTCAATTATATACAGTACAATGAAAGATTGCAGCCTGAATACCAAAAAGACAGCACATAAACACACTCCCTATATTTCAATTTAATCCAGCCTTGGATCACAAAATTCTTTTCATTTAGGAGGAAACCAACAGCATCAGCCAACCGCTGCTAGAAGGGGGCTGGAAATGGAAGAATTGTCTAGTGAACCTGCAAATTCGGCAGGTAAAATATTGATGCAAAAACTTAGCTGGCTTAACATGAATTTTACAACGTTGCACCCCTGCTGCTCGCAAATGACACACAGAGACGTTAGATTCACACCAGTGAACCAACATAACATCAGCTGGAACACAAAAGACAAGCTGACGCTTCCCTCTTATGGACACAAACAGGCAGTACAGGTAGATGTTCAAGAGTTTCCCTACACTGTCAAACCCTAGCTACTTTACTGTTGCATTTTAATATTAATGGAACTATATGGATTCATGTAGTCGGTGCCTATGATGTAGGGAAAGAGTGATGAAATGTAAAACCCATTACCAGCAATGGTGTGCGCATAAAGGCGGCTACCAAATGTGAAGACATGTAATTCATAGAGTTTGGCAATTTTCTCCAGGAATTCCTTGCAGTGTGGGCGTAGTCGTGTGTGGAGCATAGGCTCTCCTCGCCCCAGCTGGAAGTGGAAAATGCCCTGGAGGAAATAACAAGTGTTAACTATGACACAATCTGTACAAAACAACACCAACACCAACACAGATTTAGGCCTTAACATCATCTTTTAAAGTAAAATTTTGAAGAAGAACTTCTCTTAAATACTAGGAAAACAGTCAGAAGCTCATTCAACTCATTTCTTCGGGCTTTGGTGACAGACAGTGAATGTAAACCTAATATGTTTGTTTGCAAGGAACCTCCACATATTCCAGGCCTAGTGTGTGTAATGTGGCATTTATTCTTTATGCATGAAATCAGGTTTCAGGTGAGGACAGTAGAGAAAAGCGATAAGTCGGAGTAATACCTTATTGGACATTCGCTGGCAGTGCTGTTCAGTGGTGTGGATCAGCGTCTGGTCCAGGTCCACCATCAGAACCAGCTTTTTGTTCCGGTACAGTCTCAGCTGGTCTTCCCTGCCTAGCTGTTCTGCTTGCTGTTGGACAGAATGAAGATGTTGTTGGAATGACCTCAGTGCTTTTTTCAGGTTCAATTATTTATTAATACATTATTTACTACGAGGATTTCACATATGGGATTAAGTTTACATCTTTTGATTCTTTTAATCTTTGTGATTAACTATTTCCCCCTATGTGTGCACGTGTTTGTGTATCCTTGGTAGTGAAGTTGTAATTAATTTGATTGAATTTAACTAGTCCAGGAATGCAATTTTGTATATTGGTCAGATGTATTGACCCTGATTTTTGAGGGGAGAAAGATACTGACCAACCATCACCAAAATACAGTACAGTATTTGATCATATATTCACTGCATAATCTAAACTGGTTGTCTGTGGAAACCTAGACCTATGCATGACTATGATATTATCATTATGTGTTCAAATGCTTTTAAATAATTTTTTTCCACCACTAAATACTATTTAACATTTTTTTTGCATGAAAATTTGCACAAAACTAGTCCATGGATAATATCTTTCAAGGATTGGAGGCACTGTGCTTCCAAGTGCAACACACACACACACACACACACACACACGTCTTATAATGGAATGAATGAAGTATATCTGCTCTATTAGCCCCGGTCTTCCACGTATCTCCATCATATGACTCACCTCTGAGCTGACCATCAGCTCGGGGACACTGTGCACCATGGAGACGGTTGCTGTGGAGATGGGAGTTTGCTGGTTCCCATTCGTGCCCTGCAGCCTGGGGGGGGGGGGGGGGGGGGGAGGGAGTGGGAGTCATGCATTTTGTGTCTGTGTATCACGTAGGTATGACCAAATTCAGGTACGACTGAGAAGAAAAGCGGCTTTTCTCAAACATGCAAATTCAAATGTGTGAGACTTTGCAGCGGATTTGATTTGTGCAAACGTTTGCCGTGAGCACAGAAAATACTCCAGTTAGCAAGGGATTCGGCTGATTGTTGGCAGTACTAAGCTCCTCCTGACTCACTTTTTTGATCTGTAAATACATGTTATCATACGGCATGCAAAATTATTCCCTGCGGTTGGATATTTCACATCATGTTTCTCACTTCCCATGTGCCTTTTAAAAAATACCTTTCCTAACAGCCAGGCTTTTACATCATAACAATAATATACACATTATATAAAATAATAAATACACTGGTAATATGTTTCTTTAAATCAATGAAATCTGCAATAAATTGAGCATGTCTTGGATTCTAAGTGACAGCTGTAAATTTGACATCATAATAAAACTGACATCAGGGAGATTGCAGAGTGTGAGCACTTGATTTATGACCCGAGTTGTACTCAGCTGGCTCTGTATGATCTCTGGTGCCACCTGATGGTATTAAATAATACAGAATCCACCACAACTACTTTGTAAGCTTGCTTAGTAATTCAGTATGTGAGTTTTCAAGGCAGGTATATGACATCTTTAAAAAGGTCAATTTTTAATCAGTTCTACCTACGCGTACCTACTATGTTTTGGGTGTTTTGCAATCAGCTCAGTGCACCCTGAGAGCCAACGTGTGAGCAAAGGTGTCAAACATATCATGTCAAGAATGAAGAGGAAAATAAAAACATAAATTTTTCCATTTATGTGTAAAAGAACGTTTGCATTTCCTTACTGAGTCAGGTCCTGACCACATTCAGCACATAAACCCTTCATTACTATTGGATGGCTGCATTCTTCGATTCTGACGATGACACCCCTGAAAAAAATTGGAAAAGAAACGTTAGTGTGAATACTTACTTTTGGGCAAAGCAGTAACAGTGCATCCATCTTTTAGCAGGATTCTCATTAAAAGGACATTTGCGTTGTGGCATGCAACACCTTGGTGTAAACTAAGTTTCTTGGATGTTAAATGTTATAATAGAGAACAAATAGCTTTGCACAATACACACAGCTGCTTTGCTCTGTTTTTATGACAATTGTTGTTTCCCTGATGTAAATAATCTCCTTCTGCAGACCAAAGTATATATATATGTATGTATATATATATATATATATATATATATATATATATATATATATATATATAGTAAGTATATTTAAATGCAGTCACGTTTCACACATGGTCCAGGTTGACATTATTTCAGATGGGGTACTTTACTGTCACAGCAAGCATTATGGATTTTCAAAGTCAGGAGTAGGAGGAGCACCTAAAGGAAGCACGAGCCCTTCCTCTCTCACAGAGGTGATGGCAAAGTATTTAAACTTCTTATTGCGAGCTGTAAAAGCTGATCAATGATACCAGATTAGTGTTTAAACATTCTGATTTTAAATGAGCGCAAAGTAACGTTATACCAATTATTTTGTATAACGTCACTCCACAGAACAAGTCGGACAATATAAAGACTAAATGCAAAAAAAAAAAAAAAAAAAAATTGAACTTTAGCGCTAATTAAAATACATGCAGTGGGCGGGTAATAAGAGTGTAGGCAATGTTTCGTAAGCAGGCAGAACATCGGCAGGTTAAAATTCACAGGGGGGTGGGGGGCAGCCTCGGACCAGTCGGCTAACTGTAACCTGTCAACCTGCAGGGCTTGTTCACGCTTCGTGCGCGCGAGATACGGCTGCGTCAATTCACACAAAACGAGACACCACTTCACGTGGTTTTGCCTTCAAAATAAAAGCGTAAAAAACGGTTTGCCTATAAGCAAGATTGCAAGTACATCACTGTGAAAATTCACCAAGTCATATAATGGTTGCTAAAAATACTGCTTACAGTTGTTTATCATTTACATAATAACTAAAACGACTGAAAACGCCCAGAAACAGATCATCTAAAAGAATACACTTTTATTTTGAAGGTTTTAGACAGCGCTCTGCTTGTTTATTTTGACTGACTTGACAGTGGTGCGATCAGACGCTGTGAGTGTTGCTTTGAGTGCTGCTAGCAAACAAGCTAACGTAACTTCGCACCTACGTATAGCTGTGTTAGCTCGTTAGCTAGCTAACGTTCCACTGCGGGTGAAGTCAGTAGCTGGCAAAGCGGTACCAAAACTACAGCTTGACACGTTGCCTGTAGACTTTCCAGGCATGTGGCAGGTCGGCAAACATTAGCTAGCTACAACAAGCAGAGTGGCTCACCCGGGAGGTATGACTTGTCCAAGTTGACAGCATAGCTCCTTGACTACTCCAGCACGGTCCGATTTCACCTTCTTCTCTGGCAGCCTGGCACCCTCTGCCCCCTTCTCCTGAGGTATGGGAGCACACAGTGCTAGCACGGAGTCCACGTTAACAAGAGTCCCGGGTTTGACTTTCCACTCCAGAAGCCGTAGAGGGAGAGCCCCGGTCGGCCAAAAGATATCTGCCACCTGCATCACGGGGCCCTCCGCCGCTGCACCGCCGCCGCCGCCACCACCACCGCCTGAATCTGCTGGAGGATCCTCCATCTGCCCTGCACTCCCCAAAAATCCTTTAGTTTTCAGAAACAGTCCACTTAAAACGTGTCCGCTAGACCTCGCAATGTCCCGTGTATCATTAAAACGTATAAACCATTAGCATCAAGGAGAATTAAAACAAATGTGCCGCTGACTTGAACCCAGTGGCTTCCACAGTCAGCTATGTTCGCTCTTCCCGCCCGTAAACAGGAAAGCGCAACACTGCAGCGACACGGGTCGCCACAGCATCCGGTACACCCAGAGCAGACCACGCAGCCTGCTCCATGAAAACACACATGTACCACGTAGGTTTCACAATAAAATCTCTGATAAAATACTAGCGACATATAGTTTATAGAAACATTTAAGAAATACAGCGTTACTATGTACGTTATTTAATTATCCCATTGACTTTGTACAGTGCTTGTTGTTGTAGATGTTACCTTCGTCTGTTCTGCTTAGTATGATACACTAAAAGTGAGCACTTCTACGACCTTTCTTTTGAAGGCCCAACCCAAGTTTCCGGGTTTGTTGTAACCAAATTAGGCTGGTTTGATTTTGCTTATAATTCTGTACACTGACAGTATGTATTTCATTTTTTTTTTTTTTATAAACGCGATTCAAACTTAGTATGTCGCACCCCGTATTAAACCTCATATGACCTCACGCCCGACCTTAACCGCCACAGTGCGCATGGACGGTGTCCTCTCCATCACAGAAATACTATGTGGTGTCTGATAATAATGTCAGATACTATGCACTGCATATTGATCACCTCCAATTGATGAGGAGAAAGCGATCTGCACTGGCAAGTCCTACGAAGACTACATCATATAAACATAAATCCCAACAATATGTACAATAACAAAAGTCTACTCAAGTTGTCCAAGGCCCCTCCTTGTTTTTTCTTTGACCCAACTTTCCATAAAGCTTGAGAGGGGACCACAGAGACTTAGCTGATGTAAGCTGATGTAACAGAGAAATAATAGGCTACTCCACCTCTGTGGCACCATCGGCGCAGGTTTCTTGCCTAGTGCATCATTTAACCTAGTATTTTACGCATTGGCCCTGCGATTTACAATCTACTGCCTATGCTATTGAAGTGAATTTAGGTGGATTAGTATCCGCCAAACTGAAGCAAGTTTAGAAAATATCTGTTCCTATTAAAAAATTACTGATTCTCAAGGTCATATTTTGTTTTATTATTACTTGTGAACTATGTGATAGGCAAGAGTCAATAATTAACTTTATAGGTTGAAGTTGGGGTGTGAAAGGGGGAGGAGAAATGGGTGACAAGTAAATACAATAACAGGACAAGGGTATGCGTCGCACCACACCGTATAATCAATGACGTATCATTTCGGCACCTCCTACCAGAGAGTGCACCATCAAGATACACCTCTGCCCAGTCCGCATGTCCACCGACTGATACAAGACTTCAACTTAACATCTTCTGCTGTGTTGTCAGCAAAAACCTGTACCTTCTAACCTGGGCAGAGACGTTTATTGATCAGTGAAAGTATAGGAGTAAGTAATAAAATAGGAGTCAGATGACTTGCTCTTCCTCGCAACACTGAAAATGATATAATTTACAATTTAAATTGCAATAATTTACAATGTACCAGTCAGAGCTCCTGGTCTGGCATTTATGTATCATATAAAGGCAGAATAATGAAATAGAAGTGTTAATTGACATTACATTAAGTGATTTTGTTGACATTCATTCCAGTCTCCATATCTTCGACTGTCTGACACAGTACAAATACATACCCACAAAATAAAGCTCTCAGTGACCACCGTAGCTAAAGCATTTTGTCTAATGAACAGGATTTCAATAAAGTAGATCTTATCCAGAGCTCTTTAAAGGGCTCTGATCTTACCTAGCTTATTTAAACGATAGCGGAAGTAGACGGGAGTGCACCCTCTCGCGCCTCCGTGCGTACTCCTCGGCCAAACCAATAGTAGGCATGCTGCTCGGTAGCTGCCGATAGAGGAAGGAGGTGGTGCCAGTGGTCGGATATATTAACAGGGAAGACACTTTGGACCTCACTCATCGCTGTGAGCAGAGCTGTTTCGTTACTCCAGTAAACATGACAGGGGGGACCAACAGAGTGGTAAATAAACGATATTTCTAATCGTTTATTTATTTATTTTTTTTTACCTCAGTTTGATAGTAGCGTTAGCTAAAATTAGCTAGTTGGCCAACAGCTAGGCTATGTTCTGTAATTAGCTGGTCATCGTTAGCACCAGATATCAAAGGACTGATGTGAGGTGTTCAATAGTTGAAGCTGTATATTTATGTAAGTGTGAAAGACCAGCTGGACATGTGAGTGTTATTTGATATTTAATAAGAATATATTTTTCAAGGTTGCTAAGCTGTATTTCACTCATTCATATTCCATTAACGTTACCTTCACTGTTGGCAGCTGTAAATGAATTTTAAACAGGTGACAAAATGTGTCAAACAGCTGCTAAGTATTCCTCTTCATTCAGTGTTGTGTCATTCAGTGTTGTGATGGGAAACACTCTTCAGACTTGTTCTGCACAGTGTGTGACAGTGAGTTTGTGTGATATTTCAGTGTTCAGGTCCCTGACATCACAGCTATCTGTACATCAGTTTGTCAACACTGGAGACATTTTGTCCCTCAGAGGCAGACCGCAAAGAAAAACAGAAAAAGTATCCCGCCTGGTGTTATTGGCCTTGATCTCTAGACCCCCACCATCACACACACACGCTCACACACAAACAAACACTTTCTCCTGCTGTTACTCAACACACTATTGAGGCCTGTCTTGAGAATCAAACTTCATATAAGTCTGATCCTCAGTAATATCTGCCTCTGCAGGACTGACAGCCTGGCTTACAGTTGTTATAGGTGGCTATCAACTCAGTCAGTCAGTTTTATCAAACTCTAATTAAAAAGTAAAGGCATTCTTTCGGGATTCCAGTGGGATTACCGTGGGATTGGAGTCAATTACATTTACACTATTTATCACAGAACTGGGCCAACACAGGGAGAAAAGCTAATGGGAGCGGGCACGATGGAAATCATATGTCAGTTTTTTAAAATATAAATATGAAGTATTTTTGTGGGAGACAGGAGGGGATTTTCTCTCTTTTCATGGATACAATGCTGTTGTCACTTGACTCTGTAGGCTTTTCCTTTGTGTTTTTCTCATAGCTGCACTGTTACATCGGTCATCACTGTTTATTTACTATTATTTATGCTCAAGTAGCTACACTATATTGCCAAAAATTTTAGGACACCCCTCTGAATCATTGAATTCAGGTTTTCCAATCACGTTCATGGCCACAGGTGTATAAAATCAAGCACCTAGGCTTGCAGACTGCTTCTAAAAACATTTGTGAAAGAATGGGTCGCGCTCAGGAGCTCAGTGAATTCAAGCATCATACCGTGGAGACGTGTTCTCTGGAGTGACGAATCAAAAAGTGAAAGTGACGACTGGAGCTGAAGCACGACGACACCTCTCGTATTTGAATAGTTTTAGGCTCATATATGAGCAGTGAAAGTTCAAGAAGCCTGCATGTTATGATTAAATCTATAATTATAATCTATAATGTAATGTAGATGTAATTGTGCAAGATGTTACAGTAAAATAATTGATAGTGGTGTAATTTATCCACATTTCATGTGAGTCTCAATGTGATGTGATATTCATTAAATTATTTTACTTTTATTCTCAGGTGGAACTGTTATGTCTTTCTAGTGTACATAAATATTTATCAATTAATCTCTCTCCATATCTCACTCATGTGCCATCACACGGCAAAACTTTAAAAACTGTCAAACTGAGCGAAGCGCTTTCTGAAGCACCAGTGACATTTAAAGCTCCGGAGCTGTGGCATCATCCACCTGTCTCTACTGGAAATGCAACAATTGTTAAAGCTTGCAGGCTTTTTAAATGATTGGATTTAGTATGGTGAACAGGATGTTGTTCTTCACATGGAACTGCATGTCACCAGGACCGAAAGAGCCAGAGTCCACTTGCTGTCCACAGGCTCCTGGTTAACAGTCAGACAGTGTTTAGCAAAAATAGGAGGGAAACCTTTTAGATGAAATCTAGGTAAAAGATGTTTGCTTCAGCTGTGATGTCAGATGAGGTTCTCATACAGTGCCTTTGTTTCCTCTTCAGTTAAGGTTGTGTCTGCATCACATGGCTCTGTTAAGAAGATACCCGCATCCCGGCTCATCACTCCAAACAACCAGACCCTTCAGTTCACTCAGGTACCGAATACCGGCTAGGCCACAATCACTACTTCTGTTCGTGATGATGTGGTTGTCTTGATGAATGGGACTGTTTCCAGGGAAGGTAAGCGCAGAGGCCTGCTATGGAAGACACTTGTTGGCATCTCTGTCGGTACTCCGTTGGCAGTGGGTGTCCAGTATGCTGTGTCCAAACCAAGAGAGAGGAGGAAGATGAGGATTGTGATTGAAGGATTTGTTCGCTTCTTCAGGTTTGTCTTAAACTAGTTATCCACATATTTAAAAGTGAGACTGTAGCTTTTGCACAAGGATTACAGTCACACCATATTCAACGTCATAAACTGTTCAGGTGAAAGTTAATGGTGAATTCAGTGACATTGTGAGAAGGATTACAATTAAATTGCAGTCAGCACTCAGTCTCTATGAACTGTCACTGGGGTAACAGCGCTGAGCTTTTCCTGAGACCTGAGACTTTTGTCTTGTTGCCAGTGGCATTGCAAATGCATAAAAGCCTCCTTAAATTGCACAGCTCGTTGTCTGTGTGGTGGGGACTGTGAAGAATAGGTTCAACAAATCAATCAATCAAACAAAGTGTTGATTACTAACTATATACCTCTGGATACTGAGGTATATAGTTAGTTTTCGGGATGGGCAGTGTGGGTGCGGGGCAGGGCTGTGCTCCGGTTTGTTCTGGGTTTGTGCCTGGAGTTCTCGGCCCTTGATGGATGGGTGGGTTGTTGGTGGCATGCAGCTGAGCTAGTTGATTTTGCCTCGTTGCTGGTTTGGCTGGTGTTGCATGGCGGCTGGGGGGCGCGCTGGGCATGGGCCTTAGTTTTTTCCGGCGGTTGGGGGGACGGTGGACTTTTATTGGCGGGTGCACGGTGACCTGTGCGGCGCGTTTGCTGCCGGGCTGGGACTTGCTGCTGGTGTCTCTCTCCGCTGGCTTTCGCTGTCGTGTTGTTCCGTTTGCTCTCTCTCATTTGCCCGACCTCGCACGCGGGATTCGCGGGGGGCTGCTGGGCATGGGTGTCGCCGTGCTCGCGCAGTGTGCGCGTTGGGCTCGTCACTTGTGCATTGGTGTTGATGACTGCGTGGCATTTGGGCATTGTGGTTGTTTGCTGCGCGGCGGTGGGGTGCTGGATGGGGGAGGCCACTGGTCTATGTTGTGTCTGCGACGCGGTCGGTCCGGGCGCTGCTCTTCCTCTTTTGCGTTCCGTCGGCATTACGTTGTCAACTGGCATTTGGGTCGGGGTCTTCTGCGTTTGCATCGCGGTGCATCTGGGAGTCTTTGTTTTTTTTTTTGATTTGATTTATTCTTTTTCTTTCTTCCACCCCTATTGGCTACTGGGGTTCTTGCCTGCCTGTTACAGTCGTGGCGTCCCACTCTCTCTAACAACTACATTCTTTAACAGGCTTATGCGCACACACATGTACACACACACACATACAGACACATTCACCCACACGCACACAGACACACACAGACACAAACAAACTTAGGTTGTCCCTGGTAGAATTATTCCTGATGCCTTTCTTTCAGTTACTTATTTAAATTAATTATTATTCCAGCTCTCGTGGCTGTGTTGTGTTGCTTATTTAGTGTGTGTGACTGTTTCTTGTTTTCATTGTTCTCTTAGTTGTCTTAATATGTCATTAATATGTCAGCTGTTTATTGCTGCTGTTCGGCTGGTTGTCTTTTACTATTATTATTATTATTTTTGTTTTCTTTGTTTGTGTTTGTTTGTTGTTGTTTTTCTCCTCCCCAAGCCCCCTCTCTGTTCTCTTGCAGGTTTCGTTTATTTCTGCAATTGGTGTTTCCCACAGCTTTTCCCTGTTGTCCCCACCCTCCATCCCCCTTTCCCCCTTCTCTTGCAGGTGTTGTCCTTTCTCTGTGCTGTCTGTTTGTGCCCCCCCATCCCCGTGTCTGCCCCCCTGTCCGGCCCGGTGACAAATCAATACATAATTAAATAAATAATAAAACAGACAAAGGAGTATTTTAATACTCTCTTGTTAAAGTAAAATCTGTCTGGCACAATATGGTATCCAGGTCATTATACTCTATACCAGGCTGCTGGGCAGGACAGGTTTAAAAAAAAAAAAAAAATCAAACAAAGTGTTTCTGAAATAAACAAGTAAATCTTTGTGTTTTACATTCTTTTTAAGCTAAGTTATTAAGGTCGTTGAATATTAACAGTCATTGTGTGTCATGTATTGTCAGGGTTAATGAAAAAAAAGCTTTTAAAACTACATGCATGCAACAGATGTGATATTATTAGTCTAACCTAGGTTCTCTCATACCTTCTCACAACGTCACTGAATTCACTATTAACTATTCATCTGAACCGTTTATGATGTTTTATATGCTATAAACATAGGGGTAGACAGCACCTTCTCTGTTTTATCATTTTATATTTTTGGTTCAGGAGAAATGATGCAAAATACATAATTCGGTTATGGCGGACAGTAAAATGGCTGCCACGTTTTTGCAAATCTCTATCTCTGAAAATGTTCAGGGCCCCAAACTGTAAAGGTGTACCACGTTTCATGCTTTTATATCAATGTGAACAAATCACCTCAAATTTGGCGCTATCATCTGGACTATATATTATTGAAATACTTTTGCTATTTAATTCAAATGATTAAAAGTAAATGTGCCAATAATTATTATAAACTAAAAAACAAACTGTTTATTACAATATTACCATATTACAATAACTTGCTTTATTTCAGATTAAGAATCAGACTTAAGTTATGCTCACAAATACAGGGACTTTGACTCCATGTGCGGCTTTTCATTTTTGTGTCAGAGCTTTTCATTTATCGATTGCTGTCGGGAAGTAAAAAGAATTCCAATAATATAGCAAAAAATGCTTCTCAAATAATTCAGTGCACTCCTATTTAACCTCACTCGTTTGGGGTAAAGCTGTACAAAAGACCGTCTCTCACTGAAATGAAGTCCCAGCAGACAAGCAGGGACAACGTATATCACTGCCCTCTCAGGCGATAATGAGACGAATCGCTGGGATTTTAAAAGAACATGATTCGTCCATCCATCATTAAAGGGTCGAAACCGACTGATAACATTATGAATCGCTCACATTCCTGTTTGTGTCGTGTTACAAGTCAAATCCAAACCCTTTGAAGTCTCTGCGAGCCTCTTATCTGTTTGTCCTCAGATCCGTCTCTGTGGGAATCTTTATCTCTGTGGATTACTGGTGGACCACCAATGTGGCTCTTCGCAGCCTGGATGAGGTAAGTTCCATGTAATGAAAATAGGTTGTTTGGCTGTAGCCGTCACTGTCCTGAATGTGATTGCTGGTCTGTTTTTGACTTACCATGGAGGAAAGATGTGTTTAGGCACCTTAAATATGGCATGGAAACCCCTGTGACTTTGTTTGTGTTTATCTAGAGGGGGAAAAAAGGGCCACGCTCTGCGCATATTGAACTCAAAATCAGTCAAAGTTGAAACGATGGTCAATTGGTAGATTAGTTAATCTGCAGAAAATGTATAGACCATAATTTCAACAATCTTTAAGTATGTTATCTAGCAGAAATGTGAGGATTTGCTGCTGTTCTCTGTTTTATATAATTGCAAATTCAATATCTTTGGGTGTTTTGGAGTGTTGTCAGACAAATCAAGCACTTTGAAGATGTCCCTTTGGCCTCTGGGAAAGCTGATAAAATGCAAACATTACCCCAGCTTTTGTCAGAATTTTACCAGTGTGAGATACCGCACTTTACAGAACACATGAAATCTTAGACAAATTCTCTATAAAATAGTTTGCAATAATTAGGACAAATGTTGATTGGTGTCTGCGGCCTAGGGGTGACATAGGCACATTTTCTTTCCACCTCTGATGTACACTATCGGAAATAAGGTCAAAAATGCATCAAATGGTGGCGGTTACACATGTATTGTTGCTTGCGATTTCCTGTCCCTGTGGGTGTTAACTACTGCGTGAACAATCATGTGTTACTGCTGTCCTCCCCTGCTAGAGCAGCCCATCCTACTTGGCCAAGGTGTCAGCCTGCCACCAGAGGGCAGCAGAGCGCATGGTGGAAGGAGCCGTGAGGAATGGAGGATTATACATCAAACTTGGCCAAGGTCTGTGTTCCTTCAACCACCTCCTGCCCCCCGAGTACATCCGCACCCTGCAAATACTGGAAGACAAGGCCTTGAACAGGAGGTACAAAGAGGTGAGAACTGCCGCACTAACAAGGCACATGGCTCAGTGAAAGAGGAAAATCTCAGGACTGTGTTTGTCTCTGCGGCAGGTGGATGCTCTCTTCCAAGAAGACTTTAATAAAACACCAGAGCAACTTTTTAAAACGTTTGACTATGAACCCATAGCTGCTGCCAGCCTGGCCCAGGTTCACAAAGCAGAACTGTTAGATGGGACTCCAGTCGCTGTGAAGGTGAGCGCCGATTCTGAGACCGCATTTTATTGCCGTTCTGTGCCCGCTTTTTGGCATGGGTTAGTTTCAGCTACAGGTCTCCCAGAAAGTAAAATGTTATATTGAATAGATTTCACAAAGTGGACTGTGCAGAATCAGACCACTCAAGTCCAGGTTTCAAGTTTTTAGTCACACCAGCATGACCGACCAACCATGGAAATGTTGCACTATTTTTCACTTTCAGCAGGGGAGAAATATCTTCTGCAAGCTACATTGGGGAAAAATCCATTCATGAATCCCTTTTGTTAATATTTTTATTTGGGGGGTAGATCAAAATGTTCATCTTAATCCTCAAAAGCGTGTTTTTTCTTCAATCCTGGTCCCTACAGGTGCAGTACATTGACCTCAGGGATCGGTTTGATGGTGATATCAGAACACTGGAGATCCTGCTGGATATTATTAAGTTCATGCACCCCAGCTTTGGATTCAGATGGGTTCTTAAGGTCAGAAAACAGTTGTATTTTTTGGTTAACCTGCAGTTTATGTCTGGGGGGACGATGTTCAGTCTGTTATTGATTTTATTCTGCTTTCTGCAGGACTTGAAGGGTACTTTGGCACAAGAGCTGGACTTTGAGAACGAAGCCAGGAATTCTGAGAGGTGCGCTGAGGAGCTGAAACACTTCCCTTTTGTTGTTGTACCCAAAGTCTTCTGGGAGCAAACTAGTAAGGTGAGGTTATTATTAATGACACTGAATAACTGGACGACCACACTTTCCTTTGCTAAAGCATTTTCATTTTTTCTCTCCATTTGAAAGAGAGTGTTGACAGCAGAGTTTTGCAATGGCTGCAAAATCAACAATGTGGAAGAAATTAAAAGACAAGGATTAAGTTTGAAAGATGTGAGTTAATGCACTCTACACAACAGAGGATATGATAGGGAGAATTGTCATGGAGATGCCACCTAAATTACTTCAAATAATTGCTTTTCAGACTGCAGATAAACTGATCCGAACATTTGCTGAGCAAATATTCTACACCGGTTTCATCCATGCTGACCCTCATCCCGGAAATGGTGGGTACATCGGTGTATGCTATGTTACAGATTAAAAGAGAATATCATTATTAGTGTTCAGCTTCAGTGACTAGATCATTTGCATTTGTATTTTCTCTCACTCTCTATTCGCAACCAGTATTAACTACAACATCACCAGGTACTTCCCACCCCTCCCTTTCCCTGTTTGAACTATAGAGGCATGTATAGGACACAAAGTCTTACTTGTATTTTAGAAACGAGTAAGTTTGGCTTAATATCAGTTTATTGCTAGCTAAACGTGGCTCTAGGGTTAGCGATATCTGTCGGCCTGTCCACCACATTGAACCAGACTGAAAAATCAGCTGTTGGATGGATTGCTACAAACTTTTGTACAGACATTCACGTTTCCTAAAATCTAAGACCTTGCCACCACAGCCAATCAGACTGGCAAATGTTAGCGTGCTAAATAAGATGGTGAACATGGTAACTATTTCACTGGCTAAACATCATGTTAGCATACTGCATTTGGCTGAAAGCACTGCTGTGCCCAAGCCCAGCCTATCATCCAGTAAACTCTTAGTGTAAATAAATAACACTAATAATAATCACTGTTCTATCCAGGTGTCTTTTTTCCATCGTGCACGCTGGGTTGTACAGGAAAATGTATTCAGGTACTGAGTAATGGTACCAGTAGCAGTTAATTTGTGGGAGGAGGCAGTCAACTTTGAGCTATGGTTATGATCATTTTTTGGACTATTTTATAATATGCTTTACAAAACATATGTATAAATACATAAAAGGTTTTAAAAGGTATTTTGCAAGTCTAAATTTCTCTGTGTTGGCAGTTCTAGTGAGACGAGGTCCCGATAACAAGGCAGAGTTGGTACTGTTGGACCACGGCTTGTACGAATACCTCAGTCAACGGTGAGATTTGGCTGAGTCTGTTTAGTAAAAACCTCAATTTTGGCACAATTTTGCCATCACTTCTAACTGCGACCTTTTACCTTAGTGACAGAGTGGCCCTTTGTAAACTGTGGAGGTCCATAATCCTGAGAGACCAAGCAGCAATGGAGAAGTACTCCAATGCACTTGGTGTCAAAGGTGAGGACACGTACCCTTATTTTTGAATATAGAATACAAATAAATGCTGTATTCCCCCTGAGCTGTATGATATATTTGTTTGGGTATTAAAATTGTCCCCTCATGAGAAGGATTTGACAGGAACAAACTAAATTATGTTACATTGTCCATAATGTGTCAAACAGGTCCACCTTGCTGCTGAGTAAGAAAACCAAAATGAAATGTCTTATCTAATTTGCTCTGCAGAGTACTTCCTCTTCTGCGAGATGCTGCTGCAGCGACCCATCAACATGCGAGAGCTGGGTCTGTCCAACATCCTGAGCCGAGAGGAGACAACCTACATGCGTGAAATGGCCAGCCAGCGCTTCGACAGCATCATGCAGGTGCTCAAGTCGATGCCCCGGCCCATGCTGCTCGTCTTCCGGAACATCAACACGGTCCGAAGCATCAACATCACTCTGGGAGCACCCGTGGACCGCTACTTTGTCATGGCCAAGAGGTTAGTGCAGCCGCTGGTTACTCTGTGCTCACTGTTAGGTGAGCGAGATGAAGTTAATGGCAAATAAACATGTCATGTAACTCCTAATATGTAAATCGATACGTTTAATACAATACTGGCCACTTGCCTGGTTACATGTTGAGAGTTTTAACTAAAAAAGGCTTCACACATTTAAGCTACAACACACTCCTGAACTGTTGAATAGGTTGCTTGTTCCAGGATGTTCCATTAAAAGGACAGTTGGGACAGTGAAGTTTACTAAGTAAATAAATATTGTCATCATCATATCTCCTCCAGATGTTCTTCTTATCAGGCAGCGTGGAGAAGGGTGTGGGTAAGGACATTTCTGAAATCCCAGAAATAGACTGAAAGCTCACTAGTTTTCCAGTATTTGCTCTGGAAACTTTGTATCGGACTGTCGAACAGCCAAACCACTCTCACCTCCTTCACTTGCATTTGCTTTGCTCAGCAAATGAAGGCCAGTCCCACAAGTGAGCACTGCAAAACATTTCAGCTACAATGTGGATACCTTGTTGTTAAAATTATGCGGCTGGGAAATAAAATAATAATTATTACGATATAATTTTCTCAATAATAATAATAATTATAATAAGTGTTCAATAAATGTTCAATTAAAATTTGATTTATTTGAATCACAAACAAATTAGCTCTCACTTTTTCTAATATGATATTTATTTTGTTGAGGAAAAGGGACTGAAAAAAGATTTTACTTAAATTTTACTCGCGCATATTTGTTGAAAAAAGATTTCAACATCACTGTTTTGAATGTCCGACTTCAGATTTGTGAAGTGATCCAGTGTTTGGCATCAAGTGTTTGTTCTGACCATAAAGTTTAAAACCCCAATTAACCGTTTGTTTCTTCAACATTCACTCAGGAGCAATAATCAGTCTTGAAAAACTTAAAAGAAATAATGATTTGACATTTATCGTGATAATTATCGGTATTACATATTTTAATAGTGATAACATTTTTGGCCATATTGTCCATCCCTAGCTGAACGTCACAAGCATCTTTAAAATATCAGTTTCATATAGATGATGTCCCTCTTGCTTTTTAGTGCGGTGCGAGGCTGGGGGAAGATTCAGGCTGAGAGGACAGGGATTCTGGCCCGGCTCTGGGTCCTCCGCTGGGTGAGGACAACATGGGAGAGTCTCAAGTTTGAACTGGCTTTGAGGTAAAGACTCATTTAGTTTGCACCAATAATGCAACTTGCGTTTTGTGATCGGAGCCACAAAATATTTAATGATACCACTCCCTTTACAGATGGGAGATGAAGGTAATGAGTCTGATGCGTTCCACCCTGAGCCTGCTGTCGTACTTCGGTGTCATATCTCTGGACGCAGACATGTACGAGTACCTGAGATAGTACACAGACGTCAACACCGTGAAGGAACGGAGAATAAGGACCTATGCCAAGCATAAGTTCATGCAACCCAACAGCAGGGAGCCTTTCACTACTGTAGCAGCTCCACAAGCTACTAGTAATGGTGCTGCTCAAGTGTGCTCATTGTTTCCACACCAAATCATCCTGAACTCTGGTGTCAGAAGTAACTGCGGAATGCAAAGCACCAGACTTACTCCAGAATAGACTCCCAGAACCTAACAGGCTATTTTAATGCTTTTAAATTCATTATTACATAGATTTTTGGCTATTTACATATTTAAATTTAAGATTAGTGTAATTTTAGTACAGCAAATTGTTTTGAAATCCAAATGTAAAGATATTTTAAGCTGCAGTTTATTTAAAAAAACTGGCAACATTACTCAGTTATTCTATCAGCAGCCGCGGCGTCCTGGCCAAGCAACAACATATATCATTGTCTCCCTCATTGTCCTGAAACATTTCATTGTAAAACTGCTGCTTTAATGACAGGTGATTAAATACAGGTACATTAAATACAGTACATTTTTATATTTTTGTTCGGTTTTACTTAGAGAACTATGCGGTTTGGTGATTTTGGTCCCACTTTTGGTCCTGAGTTCAACAATGACTTACACTGCTTATAGGTCAAAAGAGAAGTCCAGTGTGACCAAACCAAATGTTTTTCAATTATTTTAGCAATATGAATAAATTATTCTACCTCCTTTTTCAAGGCATTCGTGTCTTTATTGCAAAAAGGTCAATAAACACACACAAGGCTTGTGTAAATTACTTTTACTCATTTTTTTTAATACAAAATATCCCTAAGAAAAGATGGCTGCCTGCTTTTTTTTGGTCTAACATAAGAAAAACAAATCAGGTCTAAACAAAGATGGCCATAACAAAACATTTTCTTCATTCAATATAAAACCGCATTCATTGGACAAGACGTGGGAATGTGGCTCTCAGAAATGAGCTGTTACTCTGTCGATCTCCAGAAGGTCATCCAGGATCTAGGCATGAAAGGAGGATAAAATGAGAATAAGAAAATTAAAAGCTACATCCTTGTTTCTGTTCGTGTACTTACGATGTCCTGAGTAGTACCAATCTTCTTGGCCAGCTCGCTACGCTCCATTGTACTGAGGTACAAGTACTTATTGAGGAGTTCTCCGTCCAGGATGTTTCTCACAGCGTTCTGCAGGCTTCGTCTGTTACTGTGCAGCATTCTGGACGCAAAGTACAAAAGGGTCAGCTATATCAAGTCATCAAACCTAAATCTGTCACTTAATTGTTGTACCCCTCCTATGTAAATGAAAATACAAGAAGATAGGCAGGTAGATACAAACCTGAAGGCCTTTGGATTTAGACCAGCGTGATGAGGAAGCATGACGTTAAGAGCATTTTGCAACATCAGCAGCCGGCGGTAAGTCTTCTCCTGCATGGGGAGGAGCAGGCCAACTCCTCCGTCTAGGGTTGCTGTGGGAACACAGATTAAAAACTTGTTACTAATGGTAACAATGGCCGCTATTTTGTTTTTCCCCATTTGGTCCTGGGAAGGAATTTGGCCGCTCAGAGACCCTGTAGATGTTCTGTGGATGAATACAGTTGCAAGTATTCATCTGTTACTATCTGAGTTGTGTCTCTGGAACCACGTTAAATTTTTAAGAACCTTTTTCTCTAATTCTGAATTTTCCTGAATCTTTTTGGGATTTCATATTTGTCCAAATACAGTGATATACAAACAGTGATTTTATAGTAGTCTGCTCATAGTGGGAGCACTCTAAAGATACTGTTCAGGCCAAAACATATGAGAAGCAAGAGATTTGTGAGATTTGAACAATGTTTGAAGATGTTGCCCTGGTAACGACTTGTCAATCATAGATAATCTCATACTCTGCTTTATGGTTATCCAACGAAGGTTGAGGTCAAGGGCAACTGGAATTGGTTGAAGATACTAGAAGACGTTTTGTCCCTCATCCAAGAGACTTCAAGAACTGGTCTATTTTCCTCTAAATGGGACCGTAATTTACTAAATAAACATCATATTGTATTGAAGAATACATGAAACTAGCACTTGAGACCATAAACTACATCAGGAAAGTGTTTACTGAGGTAATAAATCAGCTGAGAAATGGGGTCATTTTAACATTATTTCTAATGGAGCCAGACTTCTTTTTGCAACCAGAAGAGTCGCCCTCTGCTGGCTGTTTGAAAGAATGCAGGTTTAAGGAACTTCCGCATTGGCTTCTAGTCTCAGACCGGTTTTGTAGGTCAGCGGTACTCAAAGTGAAGAAGAATCCCCAGGGGTCCTTGAGAGGGTTCCAGGGGGTCCCCAGCAAAAAGAGGAATCATTTATTTTCACTATAATTCCATCCATTAGTAACACAATGACAGAATGTATGACTATTTTGATCATGAGTTTCATATATTTTCTGTAATAAAACATCTAAAAACCCAATATCCTATCAGATGGTCGATCCTGACACAAAATCTTCCTTGACGTGAAAAAGTTTGAGAACCACTGTTGTAGGTAAAAGTTACAGCCGTTGTGTGTTGAGTCTACTGAACTCAGACCACAGACGGAAGAATATTTGTAGAGCCAAATGGTCTCAATCTGCCCAAACCGGCAACACTGGCGTGTGTTTGTTTGAAATATGATCCTCCAACAACTCCAAAAAATCTCATTCATTTTTCCTCGTGTGTGTGAATGCATTGTTTTTTTGTCTTTAGGTGTCCTGTCCAAACACTTTACTGACATGAGAGAAAGAATGTTCACTTTCAACTATAGACAAGACTACTATTTTCTACGTCCCAAGGTCACTAGATTCTAATAAAGCTGCTAGCTGTGACGTGAGCCAGGAGTCCTGGCAGCTTACCAAACCACGTGATGTGCTTGTTGTCCCAGGTCAGAGCCTTTTTGCTGCCGGTGTCCAGGGATCCTCTGCACGGCATCCGCCAGAAAGTGTTAATGTGAGCGCCGGCGTTGAAGTCGGCTCGCCTCAGCAAGCGCATTCCTCCAAAGCTCTCTTTAGCTGCAAACACAGACCACTCATTATATGGCTGGATGTGCATTTGGTACGGAGTAACATTACATTTGAATACACCGTTCCAACAATATCACATACCTTCAGGTAAATACATATATACACAGAGGTTCTTGTCTCGATCTGACACTAAAAGGAAAAGAAAAGAAAGGTTAATGAGAACAAGAGGGCCTTTTTGGGGCAAATTTAATTGAATTTAAATCCAAAGAGCATTACAAACATTACCCAAGAATCCAAGCTGGTTGTTATCCACCATGAATTCGATGCTGTACACCTCCAGGGGCTTAGCATCCTGTTGCCAAAACAATAAGAAATCTGTTAAATCCCAACAAAGGCCTCAACACTCCCTGAATTATCTCCAGCTGCCAGAGCTGCGCTCTTCAAGATCAACATGACGGAATCCAAACACGCTATCAACACTCATCTTCAATAAACACTACAGCCCAAAGGTTGTAGTTAAATACAGCACTTGGGCCTGAAGGAAATGTTCCCATCAACAATCAGTCCCTTCTATAATTACGATAGCGTAAATTGCTAAAAACTAAATGAGACAGAACAGCCTCAGCGGTGTTCCTTCCTCACCCTGCTGACGAGTGACAGCGTCTTGCTCTCCTCCTGGTAGCGCAGCAGCGAGACGCTCTTCATCAGATCGGCAGCCAAGATGAAATTCTTGATGCTGAACATCTGGTGGATGTAGAGCTGAGTGTCGATGAAGGCCATGCCTGTCAGGTCGTTGTCCTTCAGCACCCACAGGAAGATCTGCAGGAGGGCGGAGGAAGTAGCACTCGTTGTTTTTGCATATTTACAGGACATTAACTTTTTGTCAAATCTATAGAAGGTGTCTCTTCGTATCAATGTACTGAATGAATTTTAATGTTTAGGTTCATTTCAGTTCTAGCATCTTTTTTTCTAAGCTCCATCTGTGTGAATTCCCAGAGTTGAGATGCGAGTGTGGCTGAGACCTTCTGTCCGATGGCGGACACCAGGTATCCGTGGCAGTGACACAGAGCTGTCACCGGCCCCTTCTGTTCCTTCTCGTACAGCACTTTGAACTTGTTCTTGGTGAGGGGCTGGCCTGGCTCTGGCACCACTTCAATCACATCCAGGAGCAGAATCTGAACGCAGGAATCATTTCATCATCATTTCTTCTTTTCATCGTTTTGAACAAATTAAGAATGCGCCGTACTGCTGTGTGCTGCTCACCCGGCCCCTGCAGGTGACCTCCTCCCCCTGCATCAAGCAGGTCCCTGCTGCGATGTAGCCCTTCAGTCCGGACACTGTCTCCTGACTCCTCAGTGCCACCGTCTTCATGCAGGTCACGTGTTCCCACTCCTCCAGGTCGATCCTTGAGGAGACAGAGACGGGTCAGAGAGAAGTCAGGGTACGTTCACACACCATTTCGGCTTTTTACCACCATACTTTGGTGCTCCTCAGATTATGCATTACGAGTTTTTTTTAAGAACCACTGGAAAAGTAAATTTTTCCTCTATAAGATGGGGCACTGAAAGAGTGAATTGTGATATATGGAGAGACAAATTGATGATCTTTGCTTGATTCAAAGCTTGAATATCACATTTACAGGTACTGCGTGAGGCTGCAAAATGCTCTGACTCTGTTGTTTCATGTTGAACATAAAGAATGTTAGCCCTAGTTTATCAGCATTCAGGCCATTAGAGAATACTGTAAAGCTTTATAATTTTTTCCCCCACACGCAGACAAAGATTAGGCTATATTAAGTAGTACTAGTTCCAGTGGTTTCTGTGTAGTATTGGTTTCGACTCGTGGGTATGTATATATAACTCCAGTAGTGCTGTAAAGTGCAACAGTTAAAATGTATTAGGAAAAAAAAAAGATTGATATAATCATTCCCAAAATTCACAACATGGTTTCATCTAACAAAATATTCTGCTTCAGTCCATTTGGGCAGTCTTGCAGCATAAATGACATTGATATGACGAGTTATATTCATTGAAGACAGTTGATTTAATAAAAAAAAAAAAGACTCATTTAATCCGACTTTATTCTAATTGAGGATTTTGTTTGAGGCCTTATTTATTTTTAGGGTGATGGAAGGACTATTGTTTTTTAATCTGGCTCTTGATGGGTTTTTTTGGAGGAATTATCAAAAAGCTTCATATTACATCTCTGTAAAAAGCAAGTTAGCCTAGCACTGAACCATCTCTCCACATGTTAATAACAAAGCTAAATGTGTTTTGACAGTAAGGACAGTGATAAATACTGTCACACAATCAGTGCCCCACCATATAATGCTGAACCACTACAAGCCAGACTTATTTATGTGCTTCATCTCTGCAAAGAACGGCACTCACAGTGGTAAGTAATGATAATGTAGAGCAACTAAATGACCCAGGACTTGGATAAATGACCTGACTTTTCAAACTGACCCTCACTGAAATGAGGGAAAGCAGCCATGTGAGACTAAACTAATTGTTTACAACTTGGATTAATGACCCACTATTTTTAATTAAATCCCTCAATTCTCTGGAAGCAGCACAAAGCCTCCATTGCAACAAGCTGCTGCAGAGAAAACAAGAAAACAAAACAGCCACGAGTTTGTGTGGCCCTCTATTTCATAGATACTCTGTGTCTATTAAAAAAGGCTTTCTTATTGATTTTGCAAACAGTATTCTTGTTTTTCAAAAAGGTACGATAAATAGAGAAAAC